AGCTCTGCAGCTTACCTGGCTGCTTCTTGCTCTGACTGAGGGCTGCTGGGAGCAGGGGGTGGGGCTTGTTGCACGTGCCCTCCCCCTGGGCTCTTTACTGCCGGAGCTCCGCTCCTGTGCGGTCCTGCAAGAAATGACCCCTGAATAACTACAGCCAAAGAAGGCCAACCTCTGGACAGTTGTGGGGAAAGCTAAGGACTAGGATAAAGTCCCAGAAGGTAGAGGATGCTATGGGACAAGCAGGGGTCATTTCCTGCAGGAGTGCACAGGAGCGGCGCTCCGGCAGTAAAGAGCCCAGGGGGCGGGCACATGCAACAAGCCCCACCCCCTGCTCCCAGCAGCCCTCAGTCAGAGCAAGAAGCAGCCAGGTAAGCTGCAGAGCTGCCCCCGGCCCCCCAGTCCAAAACAGTCCAGTGGCGCCTTTAAGACCAAGTTTTATTCAGATACAAGGTCTCCCTCCTCTGTGAGGGACAGATCTGCACGTTCCCCCCCCCCCAATAGCTAGCAATCCAAAACAGTCTAGTGAAGCCTGAGCATTGGGTGTTGCCTTCTGACACACTTCCGGTGATGTCAGGGGGTGTGGCAAATGCAAATAAGTTATGCTAATCAGTTATGCTAATGAGCTCCTGCACCTCTTTTTCTACGAAATGACCCCTGAATTAAATACTACTTTTCCCTTCGCCACACAAACTGTGCCACAAACCTTCTGTCGTCTTTGTTTCCCAGCAGTTGGAGTGTTGATGAACATTCCATGCCTGCTGAGCTGATCAGTGTTGGAGGCTTCACAATGTATTATAGAATGAAGGCTTTGATTAACAAGTGTGTTCTTCCTACTCTTGTGTCCTCAGGGTGATGAGCAGTTCAGTCTGACGTTCCAAATCCTGGCAGCCACAAGCCCAGAGATGCATGATGCAATTCCACTGGTGGTCCCCGTGAAGTGTTCTTACGGCCCATGGCAGCCTCGGGAAATACTATGTGAGGAAAACTACATGGAAGTGAGTCTTTTTAGCAGGCTTAATGGCCCTTGGGGTTATGTTTTTTTAAAAATTTTTGAGGAGCATGGGTAATGCAGCACTGCATAAAAATAACACAATACTTTTAATTTAAACCCCCCACACACACACACATATTTGCAGACACCTCTGATGCACTCCCCCCTTCCCAAAAGGTAGGCTGATCTGTAGCTGGTTCTGTTCTGATTTTTTTTTAAAGAGCATGAGTAATGCTGGATAGGAATAATGCAATACCTTTAACAACCTTTTTAAAAAGTCCTCCTATTTGCAGAGGCAGGCAATTATCTTCTGTTATCCCGACCTGTTGCCAGGGAGTAGCCCCTTGGGGTCATCAAAATATGAAAATAATAACTGACCAGCTTTTCACCAAAGTCATGCAGTTGTGCTATTTTCCCCTTCAGACACAAGAAACCGCTTGTGCTTGTAGTTTCCTGCCCAGGAAATAACATTTTTAATGAGTTTAACATAAAGCAGATTTTTTGGGGGTTGGGGGGATATAGATTGTTAATGGTCTGTGCATAAGAGGGCAACCTAATGTAGAATCATTGAGGGGGGGACAACCTGCATTAGTCAGGTGGCTGAAACATGGGATATCCTTGGTGCAGTCATAGGCAAGCATTAGGCATGTAGCAAACGGTGGTCTTTGAGCTGTGAGCTCAAGAGTAGTGTTCAGTTAAAAACAAACATAGAACACTGGGCTTGGAATGGATTTTTTATTCCGACTTCCTGTTGGGAAGTTTAACCGTAGACGTTTCTGGAGGTGCAATTAGGGTTTGACCAGCACCTGTCAATCTCAGGTTTTGGATGCTCAGTTAAGATGCTATCTGGAGCTAAACCTTCAAGCTCCACTAAGCAATCCAGGATGGAAAGCAAAGTTTTTGCCAGGTGTGTATTCTTCCTAAGCTCTTGGAAGCAAAGAAGGGCCATGTTGCCCAGCCTGGTGAAGGAGAAGGACATAAGAACATAAGAGATGCCAGTGTTGAATCAGGCCAAAGGCCCATCCAGTCCAACACTCTGTGTCACACAGTGGCCAGAAATACCAGGTGCCATCAGGAGGTCCACCAGTGGGGCCAGGACATTAGAAGCCCTCCCACTGTTGAAGACTTGTTGATCTTGGAGCTCACAGTGAGGAGAAGGCCCTCCTGTAAGGTCTACTTGTGACGCCTTATCTTTACTTCTCCCTAGCTGTGGTCTAGGAGAACATCTAGCAAAAAAAGACTGGAGTGCAAAAGGGCAGGGAGGGAGCCACTAAAAGCCGCAGGGGGGCCTCTCTGGAGAAAGAGCTGACCTGGATAAGTGTCCTTGACTAAACGGCTGGGCCCTCCACCTCAAGTCACATGCAGCTCATCCATCATGAACAGCGGTCTGCTGGGTGTCTGAACTGATCTACAGTTTGGTGCAGTGGTTAGGAGCGTGGACTCTAATCTGGGAGAACCGGCGTTTGATTCCCCACTCATAAGAACATAAGAACATAAGAGACGCCAATGTTGGATCAGGCCAAAGGCCCATCCAGTCCAACACTCTGTGTCACACAGTGGCCAGAAATACCAGGTGCCATCAGGAGGTCCACCAGTGGGGCCAGGACATTAGAAGCCCTCCCACTGTTGACCCCCCCCCCCAAGCACCAAGAAGACAGAGCATCACTTGCCCCAGAGCCCCTATCTATACCTTGTGGCTAGTAGCCACTGATGGACCTCTGCTCCATCTGCTTATCTAATTCCCTTTTGAAGCCGTCCATGCTTGTAGCCGCCACCACTTCCCGTGGCAGTGAATTCCAAGTGTTAATCACTCTTTGGGTGAAGAAGGACTTCCTGTTATGTGTTCTAACCTGACCGCTCAGCAATTTCATGGAGTGCCCACGAGTTCTTGTATTGTGAGAAAGGGAGAAAAGTACCTCTTTCTCTACCTGCTCTTTCCCATGCATAATCTTATAAACCTCAATCATGTCACCCCTCAGTCGTTGTTTCTCCAAGCTCTGTCAGAGCTGTTCTCTCAAGGGCAGTCCTCGAAAGAGCTCTCTCAGCCCCACCTACCTCACAGGGTGTCTGTTGTGGGGAGGGGAAGGGAAAGGAGATTGTCAGCGGCTCTGAGACTCTTTCGGGTAGTGAAGGGCGGGGTAGAAATCCAATCCCTTCTCTTCTTTTCTTCCTTTATGTTTCTGGCGTCCTAGGCAAGTAGCAGAGAAAAACAAGGGTTTATAAATCTGTGGTAGGCCCGCTGTGCCTTTCTGGTGAGTTGCACTGGGATTAATGGGTCAGTTGTCTTTGTGGAGATTTAACTGAAGAAGCCACTCCAGGTCAAACTCCTTGACAGCCCCCTCGCCCCATTATTCCTCGTGAGTGAACTGGCCTACTTTGGTGAGAGCCAGTTTGGTGTAGTGGTTAAGTGTGCGGACTCTAATCTGGGAGAACCGGGTTTGATTCCCCACTCCTCCACTTGCACCTGCTGATGTGACCTTGGGTCAGTCACAAGCTCTGGCACAGCTGTCCTTGAAAAAGAGCAGTTTGTGTCAGAGTTCTCTCAGCCCCACCCACCTCACAAGGTGTCCCTTGTGGGGAGGGGAAGGGAAAGGAGTTTGTAAGTCGCTCTGAGACTCCAAGTGAAGGGCGGGGTATAAATCCAATCTCTTCTTCTTCTTTTACCTCACAGGGTGTCTGTTGTGGGGAGGGGAAGGGAAAGGAGATTGTCAGCGGCTCTGAGACTCCTTCGGGTAGTGAAGGGCGGGGTAGAAATCCAATCCCTTCTCTTCTTTCCTTCCTTTATGTTTCTGGCATCCAAGGCAAGTAGCAGGAAAAAAACGAGGGTTTATAAATCTGTGGTAGGCCCGCTGTGCCTTTCTGGTGAGTTGCACTGGGATTAATGGGTCAGTTGTCTTTGTGGAGATTTAACTGAAGAAGCCACTCCAGGTCAAACTCCTTGACAGCCCCCTCACCCCATTATTCCTCGTGCGTGAACTGGCCTACTTTTAACATCAATGAAAACATTAGTACCCTGTGGGGCTTTGGACCTAGAACAAGTCTGAAGTAGAGCCCTGCAGCTGACTTCTTAGGTTAGTTGACAACCTGTGTAAGAAGTAGAAGACAGCAGTCACAGATGACAGGTTCTCCAGAGCGTCTCAATTATGTTCTTCCCACACTTTCAGGTTTCTGTAAGGAGGGACGTACCACTGATCTCTGATGGCTATCTTCAAGATCAGCCTGAAGACTGGGCGGCTGCCTTCCCAGAGGTAACTTCTGCCCACGGCTTAGCCGAAGAGGCTCGATAGCGGGACTTGAGGAAGGGCACTAATGTGGAGGAGTATAGAGACTCTTAGACTGTTACTGCCTCTCTATAGGTCAAAGCAGGTCCACCATCTATCTGGCAAATCGTCTTCCACATGGACACCCAGAAGAAGGAGATGCAGGTTGAGCAAGCGCATGCTGTTGGGTACGGAGTCAACACCACGGACTCGAGGATTGTGTTGAGGGCTTCCTACAACTCAACGGAAGCTCAGAAGATGGAGGTGGGTTTCCCGTGGATGGGAAGATGAGTGTTCTTGTGAAACAGAGGAAGCTGGAGGGGGAACTGGGACTCGGGGCGTCACCTGATGAGAGACAGATGAATGACTTGGTTCTTAGATGATGGATCACATAGCGACAGGCACACTACTGGAGCGTTCGTTTGTACAAGAAGGAATCCCAAGATGGTACAGAACAATGGACCCCTGCCCCCAGGTCTGAATAGGGACATAGGGTTCTTATCTCACTATCGATGCTAATTTCCTGCCCCCGAGCATTTCCACTCTGCTGTAATCAAGCTGATTACAAGCGACGATATGCGCGGAACCTTTGCGTCCTTTGCAAGCGTTCTCTGTGACACCCTTCCCAACTTTGGATACAGAGATCTCCATTTCTACTCTCCTCATGTCCCATGAAGGGAGCTCTGACTCTCGAAAGCTTATACCCTGAAAGCAGGGTTGCCAGGTCCGACCGTCACACCAGTGGGGAAGAGGGGGAGCTTCCCAGGAGCGGGGAGGGGCACTGTGACAGGCCTACATAACCCGGAAGTGACGTAGGCACGTCAGGGACTTTGGAGGTGACGCTCTCGTTTCTGGGCAGAACTCTATGGTGGAATTGGCTTCAAATCGTCGATTTTTTTGCCCAAAAGGCAGAGCATCGCCCCCCCCCGACTTCCCTACCGTGCCCATGTCACTTCCGGTTTACATAGGCACGTCACGATAATTTCCGACTTCCTGTGGGTAAGCGGGGGTGAATTGGGGGGAGAGGCGTGCCCAAAACCGGGGGAACCCTGCCTGCACCAAGGGGTTTTGGCAACCCTACCTGAAACTCTGGTTGGTCGCTACGGTGCTACTGGACTGGAAGCTAAGAGGGTACCTGTCACCCATGGTGTTTGTACAAACTTTATACCGTGATTTTAAGAGCCACGGATTAGTTAAAACGTTGCAGCCCCTTTGCTTACAGCTGCACCCTCCAGTAGGGACTCTGCTTTGGTCACAGGGAGATTCTTGCTACCGCTTTCTGCCAGTCGCTTGTTCTTCCGCTGATACAAACTCGGGTTGGCTGATCCAGTTTGCCTCTGCAGCCAGGAAACCTCTTACACTTTTGCCATAGCCAAACCTAGAATGCTAAATAAATAGCCGTTTGATGACAGGCGTATCCCAGCAAAGGGGAATATCCCTCTCTAGTTCAGGGGTCCACAGCCTTTTTGAGCCTGGGGGGTGTGCCTTTGAGATTCTGACCCAGTGTGGTGGGCACAGTGACAAAATGGCTGCCACAAAATGGCTCCCGCAGGAGGCAGAGTATGGTTGCCAGCCTCCAGGCGGGGACTGGGGATCTCCCGCTTTCACAACTGATCTTCAGCTGACAGAGATCAGCTCCCCTGGAGCAAATGGCTGCTTTGAAGTGTGGACTTTGTGGCCTTGTACCCTGCTGAGGCCCCTCCCCTCCCCAAACCCCGCCCTCTCCTGGATCCACCCCCAAAGTCTCCAGGTATTTTCCAACTCAGACCTGGCAACCCTAAGGCAGAGCCAGCCACAAAATGGCTGCCACAGCTTCCCTTCAGTCACACAGTGGAGATCCTTTTGCTGTGGTGGTTTGCACTGCTTAGTAGTCATGGGCAGGGGTCATTTCCTGCAGGAGAGTACAGGAGCAGAGCTCCGGCAGTAAAGAGCCCGGGGGCGGGCACATGCAACTAGCCCCGCCCCCTGCTCCCAGCAGCCCTCAGTCAGAGCAAGAAGCAGCCAGGTAAGTTGCAGAGCCCCCCGGCCCACCAGTTGAAAGCAGTCCAGTGGGACCTTTAAGATCAAGTTTTATTCAGGTACAAGCTCTCCCTCTTCTGCCAGGACAGATCTGCATGCCCCCCCCCAATAGCTAGCAATCCAGAACAGTCCAGTGGCACCTGAGCGGTGGGTGTTGCCTTCTGACACACTTCCGGTGATGGCAGGGTATGTGGCATATGCAAATAAGTTATGCTAATTAGCTCCTGCACCTCTTTTTCTACGAAATGACCCCTGGTCATGGGAATACTTAATACTGTGCTTCAGTTCTTTCTCAGGATTCCAGATTTCTGAAATCATAACACATTGGTTACTGAACATCCCATTGTTGTGAGCGTATTGGCTTACTATGTGTAATTGCTGGAATTTCAAGTTGCTTTCACTTCAGTCATTACAGAGTTAAATGTTGTTTGTTAGGAAACAAGATGTTACGTTACATAATGTATTCTACAGTGGGAAAGTTTGTGGGAGTTGTTTACTCTAATGAAGTGATCTGTAACCTTTGTATTGGTCAACTAACAACTTGTTTGTGGAAATGCTTTGATCTAGCATTCATGTATTCACAAGGTTTATGGCTCTTTGTGTGAATCAGACAGGAAGCTCCCCTCTAGAAGCTACCAAAGATAGAAAGATGTAGCTGTTAGCATTTAGTACTGAGAGTAACTGCAAGTATGTAACCTTTTCATTTTATTTCTTTTATCCAAAGTACCTTACCCATGTTTTATTTTGTTTTGTAGTAAAGATATTTTTCTACTAATGGGGCTCTTGTGTTTGCAAAACGACCATCGATCTTGAATCTCAGAATCCCAACAGTAATCCACCATGAGTCTCTGTGAGAAAGGTAGACTATACATATCACAAACAATCAATAAATGTTCAGAAGTTCAGAATCCTGCAGCATGCAACTTAGATGCAGCCTCTCACGTTCCACAAGTGCACAGTTCTTTAGCCGAATCTGCCGCTGGACATGTCCTTGGTCCACTTTCTCGTGCTTGCTGACCTTTTTTTTTTTTTTTTAGGTCCACGGTGTCCCCTTCTCTGTAGTGAGGTCCAGCACTTACTTCAAGCAGCGCTGGATGGTCCTGGTTATAGATACTGCTGTGGCCTGTCCCATAGGTAGGAAGAACAAGGGAGAAGATTACTCCAGCTCTTGGGACCTTAACCCCACACTGTTGGTAGACGCTTCAGATTTAAGCCTGTAGGGGGACCTTCGAGGATAGAGGGGTGAGCCATAACCTGTTTTCCCCCATAGATGGAGTGATGTACACGGATGAGACCATCACCTGGACTATCCCGAAAGACTTGTCTCCTCTCATGGTGGGAGTGAGCAATGTCAAGGAGCTGCGTGTGGAGGTGGGGGTCGACCTGTCCAAGCTGCCTGCTGAAGAGATCGCTGCTCGAGGATACTTGCTGGCCAGTGACAAGGATGCTATCACCCTGCAGATACCCATTGGTGCCGTGGGCGGTACTTATAAGGTCGGTCTGATATTTTATTTTGTTCATTCATTCGTCCCTCATCTTGCTTCCCGCTGGGGACCCAGAGCAGCTTATAGCAATCTCCTCTCCTCCATTTTAGCCTCTGCAACAACTCTGTGAGGTTAGGCTAGGCTAGGCTCTGAGTGTGACCGGCCCAAGGTCACCCAGCGAGGTTCCATAATACAAGTGAGGATTTGAACCTGTGTCTTCAAGGTACTAATTTGACTCTCTTAACCGCTACACCACACAGGGTCTCTGACAGTATCTGTCGGGTTCCCAGTGAATCCACTCTCAAACCACAACTCTTTGAAGAAAGGTTTTATTGGAAAGAGAACTGGATAGCAGCAAGGATGAACTCCTTGCTAAGACTAAGGCATAAAGTGAAAGGAACTCAAGGTATAGTCAAACCTCACATTCCAAACATACGGTCATTCACACACACCCTTTGATAATTACATCTATTCAGCTAGCCCTGCAAAAGTTGTTATCTTCAAGTCTTCAAGGACATCCTGCTGTGCACTTGTTATGGGAAAGATGTTACAAAGCATTGTAATTGGTGATTACACTTGTTCAGGGCTATTTTTGGGCAGGAACGCACAGGAACGGAGTTCCGGCTGGCTCCTGAGTTGGCCACGCCCAGCAGGAACTCATTAGCATAATAGGCCACACCCGATAGCAGAAATTCATTAGGATTGGCTACGTTAGGGGTGTGTGGCCTAACATGCAAAGGAGTTCCTGCTACAAAATAAGCCCTGGGTTTTGACAACAAACAAGGTCAACAGAATAAGAAGGGAAAGGTGGGTGTGGCTGGATGACCACACTTCTGGTAACATGGGGGTGCGGCCTAATATGCTAATGAGCTGTGCTGTCAGGGTGGTGCCTAATATGCTAATGCGTTTTACTGTTGGGTGTGGCCTATTATGCTGGGCTTTGTCTACAAAAAGAGCCCTGCGGACTTGTTATGGGAAAGATGTTACAGAGTAATAGCAGCAATCCTACTCCCCCATTCACACAGCCAGACATTCACACCTTCCCCCTCCCGTAGGAAAGACATGGCAGCGAGGGCAGCGATAAGCAACAAGACATAGAACAGATGGAGACCATAAATTGCAATACATTGATTAGCACAGTCATAAACCAGCCTGAGTCTGACAGAGTACCCCCAGGGGGGTCCCCAACCTTTTTGAGCCTGCAGGCACCATTGGCATCCTGTCACAAGTTGATGGGCCCAGCCAGAAAATGGTTGCCATAGGAGGGGGAGCCAACCACAAAATGTCAGGGACTGAGGTTATGCATAAATATGGGGCTAGGTCAAGTGTTCCCGAGGTAGTGCTGGTGATCTCCAGTTATACTGGCCACTGGGCGGCTTGGGGCTGTGTGGCATGCAGGGTGACTGCGGCCACATTCGGGTGGCATGCAGTGTTCCCCCTAAGCTGAGTTAGTGTGAGCAAGCTCACTGTTTTTTAGCCTCCCGCTCACCTATTTTTGTCTTAGCTCAGGAAGGAGGGCTCCAGAGCAAACTAATTTATGCAGTAGCCAAGTCGCTCGCTCACAACTTTGATGCCAGTCGCTCACAGAGTAGAATTTTTGCTCACGAGACTCCACAGCTTAGAGGGAACATGGGTGGCATGGCTTGCTGAAAGTTTCTGACTTAACCCCCAGCATCACCCCACCATGCTTTGGCCAGAGTTGGCCGCTGCTGCACCGGCATCTCTGGTTTATCGGGCTTTGCTTGGCCTGTGGGACCTTGCAGTGAGGACAAACCAAGAAGAAGAGATTGGATTTATACCCCGCCCTTCACTCGGAGTCTCAGAGCGGCTTACAAACTCCTTTCCCTTCCCCTCCCCACAACAGACACCCTGTGAGGTGGGCGGGGCTGAGAGAACTCTGACACAAATGGCTCTTTTTCAAGGACAGCTGTGCCAGAGCTTGTGACTGGCCCAAGGTCACACCAGCAGGTGCAAGTGGAGGAGTGGGGGATCAAACCCGGTTCTCCCAGATTAGAGTCCGCACACTTAACCACTACACCAAGCTGGCTCTCGGACCAACTCGGAGCTTGCCAGCTGCTGTCCTTTATAAAGTTTATATCTTGGCGTGATGTTTCCTGGCATACATGACCCAGCCAGATGGAACAAATGAGTTTGACCCCTCTGCTCTAGCCATTTTACCGCATTGGCTCTCGATACTGGCTGGGTGAATGCACCAGGAACAAGGAGAGCTTTCCGTCCCATAGGTCAGAGCAGTGGGCCCTCCTCACTATTGATAGGTTGTTCTTTCTTCCTGTAGAGCTACGTAGCTGCTGGGCAACTGGTGACCTCCTACAAAATCAACCCCTTTGTTGAGCACCTGTGGGAAGACGACCGGAGGGGCGTCACAAAGCACACCATCCTGAAAGAGATCAGCACACCTGTGCAGCCTGCACCAATCGTAATTAAAGATAGTAAGTCGTTCGTTGTGAATAAAGCCAACAAAGTCGATACGAAGGCTGCCCCCAGGTGTTGGGGGGCTGGGTGTTGGAAAGGCCACCCCAATACCTGCTTGCTATGGGGGGAAAGGCCAGTTTGACTAGGCTCAGGTTCAACTGCATGAATCCAGGTGAATTCAACCCTGCCGAGCATGGCACGGATAAAGACCGGGCACACAGCCCTCAGCAGCAGAGTATCTGGAGGAGATTCTGAATATGTCCAGAAGTTTCTCACCGGCCTGTTGTTTGTGTGAGTGGTGGGGGGTCCCTCCTTGAACTGCCCCTCTAGGTCAGCAGCAGTGTTCCCTCTAAGCTGAGTTAGTGTGAGCCAGCTCACAGTTTTTTAGCCTCCAGCACACAAAGTAGCATTTTTGCCTTCGCTCAGGAAGGGATGGCTCCAGAGCAAACTAATTTATGCAGTAGCCAAATGGCTCGCTCACAACTTTCAATGCCAGTCGCTCACAAAGTAGAATTTTTGCTCCCAAGACTCCACAGCTTAGAGGGAAGCAGCCTTTCAGTTAGATGAGGTGCAGAAGAAGTATGACCCGTGATCCAAGATGAGATGAAGGTCCTGCAGGAAGGGTGGGCCCTACCTAAAGAGGCGAACGGCTCGGCTTCTTGTGGTAACAGAAAAGACTGGGCAGGAGTGCCCCCTTGGGAAGTGAAGATGTTCCTTTCTTCTCCAGGAAGCGGAAGGGTCCATACTTGCTGACTGAGCAGGTGGGAGACGTCAAGAAACGGCCTCCCTTGTTGAGCTTGCAAGGGAAACGACGGTTCAGTGATAGCGCTTCTGCTTGGCAAGCAGAGGGTTCCAGGCTCGATCCCCGGCATCTCCAGTTAGAAGGATCGGGTAGTAAGTAGGTAGTAAGCAATGTGGAAGACCTCTGTTTGAGACCCGGGAGAGCCACTGCCAGTCCGAGTGGATAGCACTGACCTTGACGGACCAAGGGTCTGATTCCGTATAGGGCCGCTTCATGCGTTCATGTGGACCTGCCCTGGCTGATAGTTACCTTTACCGTGCAGGCAGCAACATCCCTCTCCAGCTCTTCAATGTGTCCATTGGGCCCTTCCTACCAGATGTGGAGCTGGTCAGTGTGAAAGTGGATGATTCGGGCCCCTGGTCACTGCCAGAGGTTGAAAAGCAGGGCTGTAAGGTAGTCGGAAACAGGCATCCCAACAGCAGCAATGACTTCATCCTACAGATCCCTTTCGACACACCCGGAGTCAAGAAACAGGTGAGTCCTGCCTCTAGCTGGTTTACACCTAGAAGATGCACACATCGCTAATGAAGCCTGGACGCATAATGGCCACCGGTCAACTTGGGTGACACTCCACGGTATTTCTATTTTGAACAACTCCTGATGTGCGAGCCGGTTGGCTTGAAAGCTTTTCATTCTTTAGGGCTTTAAATAGAGCGTTACTTGGGAGATCTAAACTTTTTAAGCAACTATTTCAGGCTTTGTGACCTAGATGCCTTTGTGCTACAGTACGTGCCGACCCGCCCTCTACGTTGCCTACTGGAAACCAGAAGTCAGCCAGTTTCTGTTCCAGTGGTGCGATGGGCTCCCGGGATCTCGGGTGGGCTCCCAGGGTCTGGGTTGGGCAAATCCATGCAAGTCTGCTTCCCCTTTGAGATGTAGGAGAGGAAGTTGTTGTTGTTGTTCAGTAGTCCCTTAAACCTGAAGCCTTATGATTTGTGTCATGTTAGGCAAAGTCTTGTTCTGAGGAGGTGATGGACTTTCATGCCCATTGATGGTCTGAACTTCTTCCTCAGAATTACAAGGAGGGATGCATAAGCTCAGGAGATTCCCGATCCAAAACAGTTCAGTGGCACCTTTAAGACCATGTTTTAGTCAGGTACAAGCTCCAGTAGCTAGCAATCCAAAACAGCCCAGTGGAGCTTGAGCGGTGGGTGCTGCCTTCTGACACACTTCCGGTGATGTCAGGGGGTATGGCATATGCAAATAAGTTATGCGAGTGAGCTCCTGCACCTCTTTTTCTACGAAATGACCCCTGGGCAAATCCATGCAAGTCTGCTTCCTCTTTGAGATGTAGGAGAGGAAGTTGTTTTGTTCAGTAGTCCCTTAAACCTGAATCCTTATGATTTGTGTCATGTTAGGCAAAGTCCTGTTGTGAGGAGGTGATGGACTTTCATGCCCGTTGATGGTCTGAACTTCCTCCTCCAACTTGTTCTTCCTCAGAATTACAAGGAGGGATGCGTAAGCTCAGGAGATCAGAATGGATGCAAACCACTTTGCCCAACCTCATCTGGAGCAGGGACTCATCTGGGTTGGGGGGTTTTGTACTTGTAACAATGTGCCACGTACATCGGCATGTGACAAGTTCACGATCTGAACAGCTTGTGACCCTCCCAGCTGTAGACAACCCACTGGAAGTAGGATCGTGTGGCCTTTCGACTTACCTACTTGCCCAGTTCTTCGAATAAAAACCAGGAGCTGTTGAGCATCTAACTGGCCAACCCACTCAGCTCATGAGCTACAGTCCAGAATAGAGCTGGGACCTCCTTCCTACGTAGAACATCTCCCTTGAGAACTGTTAATCTTCTGGTGGTGGCCAGCCAGCTGGTCGGTGACGCTTCGTGTTGGCTAACCCAAATCTCCCATTCTCTTTCCAGTATGTGTCGGGTCCTGTCAGGAATTATACCTTAAATGTCACGTTTGGGTTCAGCGTGAGCCCCCACACAGACCCCTTCGAAGTCCCAGTCACTCTTGTTGCCCTAGTCGAGGATGCAGGTGAGTTGGGCTGGGATTGGTCCTCATTTTGGTGGATCTGCAATGGACGGCATATTGCAACAGAATGATTTGGTATGGTGGCAGGTGGAGGTTCCAGCATTGGTGCCGAGCTGCTATCACAATGTTCTGAGCCTGGGGGGGGGTGGCCTATGCTAATGAGTTATGCTAATGAGCTCCTGCACCTCTTTTTCTACGAAATGACCCCTGCTGACAACCAAATGTAGATGCTGCCAGATTTTAGATTTGTAACGGTAGAAGTGTCAGCCATGAAGTAAATATCTTTGTTTAGGACAGGCAAGGAGAACAAGGGGTGTAGAAGGACCCATATAGTTATTCCTAGACTCCTTTTGCAAAAAAGGGTGCCAAATATCTAGGCATACTTTCAGAGGGGAGCTGTGCTGGTCTGCAGTGGAACAGTTAAGAGCTGAATCCAACAGCACCTTAGAGAACGACAAGAGATTCAGTGTATAAGCCAGGGGTGGTCAAACTTGCTTAAGAGCCTCATAGAATAAACATCAGATGTTTGGGAGCCGCAAGACATGAACAAATATTACACACGTTTTTATTGAAAAATATGTAGATTTGCTTTCTATTACCATTAAACGAGACGGCCAAAAATAAAAAACAAAAGGGGTAAAAACAGATAACGATAATGATATTTATTTGTAGGCTTGGGGGGGGGGGCTTTGAGAACACGTTTAAAGTTGCTTTCTTTCTCTGCTTCCCCCCCACCCCCCACCTCAAGCCTACCCGGGGAGGGGAACTCTGGTTGGGGAAGGGAAGACCGATCGGGGAGGCAGGCCTCCCCTTCGCTTCCCCAGCGGCCCTGCCAGGAGCCACACAATATGTGTGAAAGAGCCGCGTGTGGCTCCCGAGCCACATTTTGGCCACTCCTGATGTAAGCTTTTGCGAGTCCAAGCTTTCTTCATCAGACACAAGTAGGAAGGGAGGTCTTCGAGTCTCTGTGTCACAGTCAGAAGGTGGGAGGGCTGTTGTAAAGGGTCTAAAAGTACTAGCCTGATCTCATCAAAGCTTCTTGGAAGCTAAGCGGGGGTCAACCATGGTTAACGTTTGGATGGGAGACCACCAAGGGCGTCCAGGGTTGCTACGCAGAGGCAGCCAATGGCGCTTCTGTCTGTCTCTTGCCTTGAAAACCCGACAAGGTATGTCCAGTTGCGACTTCGCAGCACACAGTTATTGTTAGGCCTCCCACAAAGCCTTGGGCCTCCAGTGTCTGATGTTGTCCAACTTAAAGCAACATTAACTCTGTGCTGAGATGACTGTTCAAGGATTCAATTCTGCCTCTCCTACTGATTGGAGGAAGGAGCAGCGATAGTTAAATGGTGGAACAGAAGCAATGGCGAGACGGAAAGAATATAAGCAGCGGCGCCCTGATGTGTCTGAGCAGTGTTCCCACCCAGGGCCAGCTCACTCACTAGGCTAACTAGGCGTTCGCCTAGGGCGCGCCGGCCCTTAGGGGCGCCAACAAGCCTACCCGGGGAGGGGAACTCTGGTTGGGGAAGGGAAGACCGATCGGGGAGGCAGGCCTCCCCTTCGCTTCCCCAGCGGCCCTGCCGAGAGCCACACAATGTGTGTGAAAGAGCCGCGTGTGGCTCCCGAGCCACATTTTGGCCACTCCTGATGTAAGCTTTTGCGAGTCCAAGCTTTCTTCATCAGACACAAGTAGGAAGGGAGATCTTTGAGTCTCTGTGTCACAGTCAGAAGGTGGGAGGGCTGTTGTAAAGGGTCTAAAAGTCCTAGCCTGATCTCATCAAAGCTTCTTGGAAGCTAAGCGGGGGTCCACCATGGTTAACGTTTGGATGGGAGACCACCAAGGAAGTCCAGGGTTGCTACACAGAGGCAGCCAATGGCAAAGCGCTTCTGTCTGTCTCTTGCCTTGAAAAGCCTACAAGGTGTGTCCAGTTGCGACTTCGCACCACACAGTTATTATTAGGCCTCCCACAAAGCCTTGGGCCTCCAGTGTCTGATGTTGTCAAACTTAAAGCAACACTAACTCTGTGCTAAGATTACTGTTCGAGGATTCAACTCTGCCTCTCCTACTAATTGGGGGAAGGAGCAGCGATAGTGAAATAGTGGAACAGAAGCAATGGCGAGACAGAAAGAATATAAGCAGCGGAGCCCTGATGTGTCTGAGCAGTGTTCCCACCCAGGGCCGGCTCACTCACTAGGCTAACTAGGCGTTCGCCTAGGGCGCGCCAGCCCTTTGGGGCGCCAAACCACCACGCCTGCAAAAGCCCTGCATTTCTGCAGCCAGGTGACCCCCGCCGCCTCTGCCTCTGCCAACCGCCACCTCTTTGGCCAACTAACTTCTCCCTGCCTGCCCCCTCGGCTTCCCAGCAGAGCGCTTCTCCTCCTTCTCCTCTTCCTCACAGCCGGGGACTGGCAGCTGCAGCAAGAGCAGCAGCAGGGCCGGGGGAGCAACGGGTTGTGCTGGTCAGCCTCTTCTCTGAGCGCCCTGATGAGGGGTGCCAAACTGCACCCGCCCCCGCGCCAAAAGCCCCCCCACTGGCTCTGACCGGGTGGGCACACAGGGGGGGGCACCATGGCATGGGGAGGCGCCAGAAGGGATCCTTGCCTAGGGTGCAAAATAAGGTGGGGCCGGCCCTGTTCCCACCTTTTGAGATACTGTCTCTTGTCCTCTAGTGTTGCCTCAAGCGACCGGCTCCTGTGATGAGGAAGCCCTCTACTTGGTGGTGAGACGTGGCAACGTGGACCAGGACTGGCTGCCCTTCGTGGAGAACACTCTCTTGACTCGGGAGACAGCCCACCAGCTCGGCTACACCTTCCACGACAACGGCCGCAAGCTGGACTACGTACATGCGGGAACCCACTCCCTCCGTCACTGTGGCTGGAAGCCACGATTGTCCCCCTGCATAGTTTCTGGCAAAAACAGTATCACTGCATTCGTAAGTGCGGATCTTGTTGGGAACACTCTGCTGCTGGGGCCTCAAGTCGTTGAGGTCTGGATGCAGCCTATCCAGCAAAGACGCTAGGCGTCGCCCCATCAATAGCTAGTGGGCAGGGGGGTGGCCAATTCTGTGTTGTCATGGGTACAAGTGGGGATAGGCTGGAAGTTTGGGAACCACGCCTGCAGTCACATGGCCCCCAACTCCAGCTTCTCCATCGGCTACGTGAGCTTCTGGCATGCTGGCCTAGCTTCCAGCATGGAAGTGTGAAGAATGTGTGGTTATATGGCAGGGCCATAAAGTTTCTCCGGCCAAATGTGGGGCCATAGGGCTTCAACAGGAAATACAACACAGCAGGTTATTAGCAAGACATCCCAGGGGAAGGCAGGGGCTTTTAGAAATCAATATTTCTATACAGTCCACCCATCTCATGTTGGGTCTTCCTCATCTCCTGTAGCCTTCAACTTTTCCTAGCATGATTGTCTTTTCCAGTGACTCTTGTCTTCTCATAATGCGACCAAAGTACGGTAGCTTCAGTTTAGTCCTTTTAGCTTCTCAGGAGAGTTCAGGCTTGCTTTAATCTAGAATCCACTGATTTGTCTTTTTTTGGTGGTCCATGGCATCCATAGAACTCTTCTCCATCCAGTGTACCCTCTAAGCCAAGTTAGTGTGAGCTAGCTCAGCTTTTTAGCCTCCAGCTCACACATCTTTGTCTTGGCTCAGGAAGGAGGGCTCCAGGGCAAACTAATTTATGCAGCGGCCAAATCGCTGGTTCACAACTTCAGTGCCAGGAGCTCACAAAGTAGAATTGTTGCTCGCACGACTCCACAGCTTAGAAGGGAGCATTGGCTCCACCAATTGGGACTGCTCCCTGAATAACCTCGGCCTCTGGCCAGCTCATCTCGGTCTCTGGCCAGCTCATGGTAAGCAACAGCCATGCTTTGGTTTTGGATGTGCCTCTTAAAATCCCAAATTCCTCTGCTTCCAGTAGTTGAATCTTCTTGTTCATGGCTATATTTAGAAGCTAAAGCAAAGGGCAGTGATCAATATATATTATCAGTGATCAATAAAAGATAAAGGAAAGTGCAATGATGAATATATTTCAAAGTTAAAGAAAAGGCAATGATCAAAACTCCTAGTTTTCAGCCTTGAAAGCATACAAGAATATGCCCTTTAGGGATTGCTTTGGGTGTGGCAGTTGTGGGAACTAGAAAGGGTACCTTATCTTCTTCAAGCGACTAGAAGCTGTCTAAGACTCAACTTTCATACTCAGAGCTAGCTGCCTTCAGGGCCCATTCCCCTTCAATGCCATCTGTAGCCCAGTGACTGTGCTTCAGTACTAGAGCCTTGGCCTGGCGTACAGAAGGTCCCAGGTTCAACCTGCAGCTAAAAGGGACCAGGTAGCAGGTGATATAAAAGCAGGGGTCATTTCCTGCTGGAGCGCACAGGAGCGGAGCTCCGGCAGTAAAGAGCCCAGGGGGGCGGGCACATGCAACAAGCCCCACCCCCTCCTCCCAGCAGCCCTCAGTCAGAGCAAGAAGCAGCCAGGTAAGTTGCAGAGCCCCCCCCCTCCAGCCCCCCGGTCCAAAACAGTCCAGTGGCACCTTTAAGACCAAGTTTTATTCAGGTACAAGCTCTCCCTCCTCTGCGAGGAACAGATCTGTACGTCCCCCCCTCCCCCAATAGCTAGGAATCCAAAACAGTCCAGTGGAGCCTGAGCGGTGGGTGTTGCCTTCTGACACACTTCTGGTGATGTCAGGGGGTGTGGCCTATGCAAACGAGTTATGCTAATGAGTTATGCTAATGAGCGCCTGCACCTCTTTTTCTACGAAATGACCTCCGCATGAACACACACACACGTAGCTGCGTTATACTGAATCCGGCCCTTTTCCCATCAAGGTCAGTATTGTCTACTCAGGCTGGCAGAGGCTCTTCAGGGTCTCAGGCAGAGGTCTTTCCCATCACCTACTACAAACTGATCCTTTCAACTGAAGATGCCGGGGATGGCACCTGAGACCTCCTGCACCCCGAGCAGATGCTCTTCCACTGACCCACAGCCCCTTGTCACACGGGCCATCGCCAGTCGCAGTCGATATGGTGGAGCATGATAGACCGATGGACTGACTTAGTATAAGGCCGCTTCATGTGATAAGTATTTCTGAGCATATGTGGAGGAGGAGATGATGCAAACACCCAGAGGTTAACTTGAGTGCTCTACCCTCAAGGGGGAAGAGTCTTCTCCATAGCAAAATCAGCAGCCTTCACTCTGAATGGCCCTGAAAAGGTCTGGTTCTTGGTAGCTTCTAATTCTGCCAGTGACTAGTGCTTGGCCATTGGGTATCCCTTTCAATGAAAGGTGCTTGATATTTCTGCTTAGCTTTTGACTACTTCTGGGCAAAACTGAGTATCACCTAGAAATCTCCAGCTTGGGCTAAAGCATCTCTGTGCCCTGGATTTGGGCAAGACAGCACGCCTTTCATCCTCGGGGAACGCGTGGCGACTGACCTCATCCTTTCTGCCTCCAGGAAGTCTACTCTTCTGGGATTGTGGTGACCTTCCGGCTGCTGCTGAAGGACCCTGTCACTCAAGCGGAGATGATGGACTTCTCAGTTTCCTGCAGCTTTTCTTCTAAAGACCTCATTGGTAAACAACTACTACTACTACTACTACTCCTTTTCCAACCCCCCCCCCCCCCAATCCCCCCCCCCCCCCCCCAAAAAAAGGCTCTTTGTTCTGCAGGTACCCTTCTGCCTGGCATATTGAACACTCAAAAGTCCAGAAGAGCTCAGTCCAGTAGAGAAATGGTCTTGAACTTCAGATGGTGGAACCTATTCAACAAAGCACGGCAGCATAAGGATTTGTTTCCCTGCCATAGGCCCTCTTATTGGTAGCTAATCGAGCAATAATTCTTCACAGTGATCCCTGTTAGCGTGTTCCACCCAGAATTAACCATCCATTATCTCAAAAGAGCTTTCAGCATCCTGGCCAGGTTCCCAATTCTCAAGCTTCTGGGGGGGGGGGAGCAGTGATAGAGTTCTTCCCAGGGCTATTTTTGGGCAGGAACGCACAGGACCAGAGTTCCGGCTGGCTCCTGAGTTGGCCACGCCCAGCAGGGACTCACTAGCATAATAGGCCACACCCAACAGCATAAACTCATTAGGATTGGCTACATTAGGGGTGTGTGGCCTGCTACAAAAAAAGCCCTGGGTTTTGACAACAAAGTAAACAGAATAAGAAGCAAAAGGTGGGTGTGGCTGGATGACCACACTTCTGGTAACATGGGGGTGTGGCCTAATATGCTAATGACATGTGATATCAGGGGTGTGGCCTGATATGCTAATGAGTCTCTGCTGTTGGGTGTGGTCTATTATGTTAATGAGTTCCTACTGGGCTTTTTCTACAAAAAAAGCCCTGGTTCTTCCCATAATGGTCTCAAATCCATACCCTGATGCTGCTGGTGCAACTGAACTTAAGGCTGTTGTCAACATTCCCATAGAGGAAGTGGTCTTCT